TAATATATATACACACTAAATACATAACTATTTAGCTGTCATCAGCTAGCCATACCCTTACTGGGATTTGAACCTGTGGTGTATTACATATTAAGCAGTTGTGTTAACCACTAAGCCACAAGATTCTCCTCCTTATCAGCTGAGCCAGGGAAGTAGGTATGTATTTAGTGTGTATATATATTAGAATTAACCTTTTTGCAATAATGCATTATGCTTGACTGCTATTACATTAAAAGAATTGGAGTTTGACATGCATTGTTTACATTCACTTTTAACTATATGCAAACCTCTTATATTAAGGCCGCTAGATCTTTTTTTAAGGAAGCAAAAAAAAGGGGGGGGAGAACTGACATTGTTCAGTTCTTCATAAAGGAAATATTAAAAAAAATAATCCATCAGTTACATCTCCCCTCTCAGATTCAGACTGTCCGTTGAAATATGAACTCTGATCTTCTGGCAATAGAATCAAGATTTCAAATCAAATTCCAGAGATACCAGGAAGTCCCACAGCTTGTTACACCAGAGTGCGCAGACCAACAGATGAAAGAAAGGGGGGGGGGGAATCAAGAAAGGAAGGACAGGTAACAAAATAAAAACAAGAATCACCCAGTTGATTGTTTTCAAATTTGAATTCCATTCTTGGACTTCACTTTTCTCAGTTTTAGAAAAAAAGACATGGAGTATTATTATACTGATTAGACACCTCATATCTCGAAATACAATTTAGATTTAAAACACGGGTTTGGGGTTAACGGAAATAATAAATTGCATGTGAATACTGCATGCGAGTAAGTCAAAACTCATCTTAAGTTTTTTTTTTTTCAGGAAGCCTATTCAAAGTGAAGTCCAGGAAACATTCATAACCACCTGCCATGGGGGCCTTGACTTCAGCTAAGAACAGAATGAAACCTGCAGGAGATACCTGTTCCTGATTCATTTCCGCCAACAATTTGTTGGCATGGTCTTTCTCATTCTTGTCTGCCACCTTATTGTTAGCATTTAAAAATAGCTGTTAAAATGGGAGATAAGAATAATGGTAACAGAAGTGTTAGTTAGCTCACCACAGCCAGTGTAATAAGTTCATAGCTGTCCTTAACCTCAATTGTTGTAACATAAGTGTAGGCATGCATAGGTATGCTGGAACACTATGCGGAACAGCAGTAATGATTTACCATAAGGTCAGTAATACAAACTGCTGACTCTGAAGCATTAAGTAACGCAGAGGTCACAACCTGTTAACTCTCAGCACTAAGTAGGGCAGAGGTTACAACCTGCTGACTCTGAGTAT